TGGCCTCAAGAGAGGCTTGTGAAAATGAGCTGGTCAAGTTTTTTACCAATAGGGACGAGGACTTCTTCAATCGCGGAATTATGAAATTGCCTTCAAAATGGACAAAAGTTATCGAACAAAACGGCGCATATTTGATCGAAATCGGATAATCCGAACTATGTTAATTTCATCGTCGAAATAAAGCGAAAAAACGCTCAGAACTTTTTACTTCACCTAATATAAAATTTGTAAGTTTATAAGGAGGACATAAAAGACTATTATTTGTCTGAGATCCTTGGATGGAGGCGTTAAGATCGCGCCAAAGTCAATTTGAATTTTTTAAATAAAATATCCTATTCTTTATTGCATATTCTTGTAGTTCAGACCTTTCCAAAACACTATAATAACGTATTTTTTCATTAAGTACTTTTTGAATAATGAAATTTGAAAGTTACAGTACCGCCGACATTTTTTTATTATAAATTGAGCTAATCAATTTCGCATTTTTGTTCTGTTCTTTTGTTCATTGTTTTTTGAAGATTAAAATATATATGTGTAAATAAAATTAATTAAATTTTTCCACCTATATGTTTGTTTTTTATTAAAATCATAAAATTCTTATTTTGTACCCTGTAGTACTAAAACGAAGCGTCGTAGAGAAAAATATTATGAACAAAATATGTTTGTTTTTATGTCCTCTATTTTCCCTCAAAGTTTGTCGACCTAATTTTTTACACCCTGTATCATGACATATCCGTGTGCCGAATCGAAGCATGTCGCCGCTTCGGCTACATACATGTATGTAGAGATGACACAGCAAACGGCGTGTAACACAAAATCGTGTCCCCAAAGATAATTATCTTTCGTTTTCTTGACGGCGTGGTAGATGAGTGACAGCGCGCGATTATATTTAAAAGATTATTTTATAAGACAGCTCACATTAAAACCGTAATGTTTTCCTGTGATTAAAAAAAAAAAAAATAGAATGAAAGAAAGCGATATAAACTGAAAGGATTTGTAGAGAATCTATCGTGTTTATCCTAATTGTTTATAAATTTGTACTAAATTTTGACATGAATTTACCTATACGACAATTTTGTTGACGAATGTATTTAGCCAAAGCGTGTTACACTTTTTATAAGATGACGATAGAAAAACACCAATTCTTGACATAACTATTTGACGATAGATTATGATGCACGCCTTCTATCGTAATTATATGTACAAGTCAAATATCGTTCGTACACAATCGAGAACGATAGGTTTCCTTTATATGATAAAGGACTTTGAGTTTCTCCCATCATTAATACACTACAAAGTATGACAGATTTCCAGTGATTTTTTCATGATAAATTCCAACAAAACGATAGGACACCACAAATCTCTAAGAAATCTATCATAGTAACGATTTAATACCCTCCTAATAGAGCACGATAGAAAACGATTTCATTTCTTGCGGATTCGATACATGCAAAGGATACGATAAAGAAACAAATATGATAGAGAATAGTTAGATTCTCTGCAAATCCTTTCAGTTTCTATCGCTTTCTTTCTTTCTATTTTTTTTAATCACAGGAACATATTAGAGTTGTGAGCTGTCTTATAAAATAATCTTCTAAATGTAATCGCACGCTATCACTTTTCTATCACGACTTCGAGAAAACGAAAGATAATTATCTTTGGGCGCACGATTTTGTGTTACACGCCGCTCGCTGTCTCATCTCTACATACATGTATGCAGCCGAAGCGGCGACACGCTTCGATTCAGCGTCAATTCGGCACAAGGATATGTCATGCACGTGTGTCAATGTATTACGCTTCGCTATGTCTCGTAGCTATGGTCGGGGGGGACGCGGCGAGACGCAATTCACAAGTGTCACGGTCGCACGTCGACCGAAGGCATCTGTCTTTCTGCGGCCGCTTTCTGTACGCTAATTTGTTGACAAAATAATTATTTTCTCAAAAAATAATTAATTTCTCGAAAACTATTGCAAATATCGCAAAACGGCACAGGACTTTCTTGTTCACCTTAATCCATTCTACGTTCTCATCAAGGGTCATCATGGAGGTTCGGGACACCCTGTATATATATACAGGGTGCCCCGGATCACTTTCACAATCTCTCGTGAGGACGTAGAGCGGATTGAGATGAACACAAAAGTCTCATACCGTTTTGCAATATTCTCAATAATAATCGAGAAATTAATTGCAAAAGAATAAGGAAAAACGCACTGAATGGTTGAGGGAGAAGCGCTCGTGGCCTAATTATATAGTGCACGGATGTCGGCGCGCAGTGATTGGAAAAACAACGCACTACTGCCTATACTCATATCGCTGCACTCCTACCTCTCGCCTCGGCGTAGTACGGTAAGACGTAGGATTGTAGCGATATAAGCCGTGCACTGACTGCGTGAATATAAGACTGCTTGCTATATTACTTCGCGAGCGCTCTTCCCTCAACCATTCAGCATGCATTTTTCCTTAATCTTACAATTAATTTCTCGGTTATTATTGAGAATATCGCAAAACGGTATGGGATTTTTGTGTTTATCTCAATCCGCTCTACTTTCTTACGAGAGATTGTGAAAGTGATCCGGGATACCCTGTATATGTACACACATACAGGATGTCCCACATAAGATATCCAACAAGAAAAATATAAGTAGAACAGATAAAAGTGAACAAATATTGTAGAAGTCATTTTTCAAACAACCACGTAAAATTTCAAGATATTAATTAAAATAGTTGGGCATATCAGAGCGTGCGACACGGCAGGCGAGATATACGGCTCGCCGTGGCCGGCGAAGAAAATGGACAGGCGCACACGTACACGATCGCACACACGAAGCTACCCATTTCAATATGTCAACCGGCCCACCTCTCTGGCCTATAAGATAGGCTCGCGAGCATGTGTTTATTTTCTTCACCAGCCGTGGAGAGCCGTATATCTCGCCTGCCGCGTCACCGCGCTCTTCGTAGCCCAACTATTTTAGTTAATCTCTTGAAATTTTACGTGGTTATTTGAAAAATGACCTCTACAATATTTATTCACTTTTATCTGTTTTACTTATATTTTTCTTCTTGGGCGTCTTATGCGGGACAGCCTGTATATTTGAAATATTATTATTTATCATGGGAAAAATTAATTTTTGGAAATAACTCGTGACTGTTACAGTAATTTATTAAATTTATTGAAACTTTTTACCGATGGACTCCTAGTTTTACACACAATGAGGCGATATGAGGCTTGATGATATATTGAAATCCAATACATCGAAAGTAGTTACTTTGGACGTATAGTGACATGTAAAGTTAATTTTGATGATTATTTAAGTAGGAATATATTCAGTGATCAGTTTCATTTAGTTTAACATAGAACTTTATATATAAAAAAGTATTTCACTAATAACTTCATAATATATTAAAAATATTTAAAAGAAAGTTTTACAACTCTTACCGGAATAACGTATATTTATTAACCTATGTGGAAACAATATAATGCTTTGGCTTTGTGATTCAGATAGCTAATAAAATGAAATTTTTCAATGTCGCTTATCTGTAAATCTAAGGCTCTATTTACTATTACTATTATTCGAGAAGTAATGAGTTGTTATATTTTCCGTTATATTCTTTACTTAAATTCCGAAAACTTTTACGATTTACTGCTACTTACTGCTATGTACATATACTTTGCATATATAAAGTAAGGATAAAAGTAACATTTGTATTCATTATTGATAACCAAAAAACTTAACTGTATTACTATTACTGTTACTAATAAAAAATAATATTGCTATTTAGTAGATACTGAAAAAAAGCAAGTAATATGTATGTATAGGGTGTCTGATAATAAATAACATTATGTTAAGTAGGTAGATTGTAGCAAACTAAACTGGGAAGTCCTCTATCATTTTGAAAATTTCGCCATATTTATTAATAAATAAATTAAATAATATTAACAAATGTATCTTGGATGATGATTTTATTTGAACTTATATGAAGTTATTCGCTAATATTGTTTGGAAAATTCTTTAGTAACTATTCTGTAATTTGTAAAATGGTAGAAGACTTTTTTCTATTTAATTTAATACAGTCTATCTACACTATTAATAGCTATACTATTAATAGCTATACTATTAATAGCAGCTATTAATAGTTATGTTATTAATTTTCGGACACCCTGTATAACGATAAGAGAGTGAAAGCTTTTCAAGGGAGTTCCAAATAAAAAGCTGATTATATACTTCAGAGGCTCGAGCCCTAGTGGATCTTTCGCTTCATCGCTCGACGGTCTCGCCGCGAGACTTCGAGATTTTGATGAGAGGCATTCCTTACCACCGCCTTCTCCTCGTCCATCATCAAGGTAGGTCATATTAAATAATTGACTGCGAACGTAGCTCGTTAGCAGATTATTTATACACTTGATACCAGATTGCCGAGGAGTTCGCCCAGTAGTCCAGCGCCTTCTAAGAAAGGCAAACGGCCAGCATCAGCTTCTCCTATCCGAAGAAGGCTTCTGTCGAGTCCATTATTGAGTAGAAGAATGAGAAAAAGTCGTGGCGAAAGCTCGGATGAAGAAGGGCTTCTTCAGGATGATTCCTCAACGAGTTATCGAGATCTTGAGACATTCCAGAAAGCTCAGCTGCGTCAAAAGGTCTATAATGAAGATATTGTATCTTTTAAGAAGAAGAAGATCACATCAATGTTCCTTATTTATAGTTAAAGCAAAGAGGAGCGGGTGTTTCCGGTTCTAAATCGGAAGCGATAAGACGCGAACTGGTGATGCACAATAAGGCACCCATGTGGAACGAATCCAGTCAAGTGTACCAGCTCGATTTCGGTGGCAGAGTGACTCAAGAAAGCGCCAAGAACTTTCAAATTGAATTCAGAGGTAGACAGGTAATCAAACGAGTCCTCTTAATATTTAAACATTTCAATTAAATTGCGTGTACAAAGTAACTCCGAGTTTCTCTAGGTAATGCAGTTTGGCAGGATAGACGGCAATGCGTATACGTTGGACTTTCAATATCCATTCAGCGCTTTGCAAGCGTTTGCTGTTGCTCTAGCAAACGTCACACAACGACTGAAGTAACTGTCGTTTATCTTTAGATTATATCGTGAAAAAAATGGCAAACGTGAAACGTCTTAAATCATGAGTGTATTAAGAACTGAAGGAAGAAACAAGTTCGATTTTAATCAAGTTGGAGTAAAAATCCGTCGAGATTCTCATCGATCATCAAGATTCAATACAACTTCGACGGATGTGTCGTTGACGATACCGACTGACCGATTTACATAATTCCTAATTAAGCTATTGATTCCAGCAACGACGAGAAAGATTTCGCGTAGCCGGAGATTGCCGAAGCTTCGGGACGAATGAGACGTTGTATAACAGATTTGCATATGCAAACCACTGAGAAAGAGAAATACAAGAGGGTATACGCGCGCGCTAACTCGCGTATCCACGCGACGTGCAGTCACGAGCGAATTGAATTCAGATAAAACACAAAGATTTCGTGGCAACTATGTATAACATTTCGTTAAACGCTTCTTCGTCGTACCGTCCAGAATATTTCGTTTCCTCCCAACCTCGAGCGCTCATTTTGTATAGTTTATGCGACACGTTGGAGAGTCTAGTGACGCTGTTGAAGGTTCACCTCGTTCATTTTTGCGGTCCGCCGAGTGTATTCGAATTTTATATACATATACTATATAGACGAACTCGCACACGCGGGGCGGGACTTACGTGTTGTTCAATTAAATGTTTCTTAAATGCGTACGATGAGAGTAACGATAACAATAACGAGTACGATAATAATAATAATAACGATTTTAAGATATAACGATAGTAATGTAACGTCCGGCCTGTAATGGTCTCCGCCATTAACGGTAACAGAGCAGACTGATTTTAAGAGAAGGGACGAAAGAGTCAGAGTCAGAACGAAAGTATGCACATGTATATGTGAGTGTATGTGTCAAGATAATTGTTGTCTGTATTTAACCCGAGTCGCACGATCGCACTGTGGTGTTTACTTCGTCGGTTCGAAGGTGGTACGAGCGAATATAATATCGATAAACATAAGGCCTATACGCAGGAACGCTGCTATCGGCGAGAAATTCGCCGTGTTCCGTGACTGAGGTGCCCGAAACGATCAGGGTACGTATTATGAAATTATTCAGAATGGATTTCAATCGAAATAATCTCTTTAGAAAATATAATAGAAACCTAGGAAATAACTGAATGATCGAATGTTTCCGATCGGAATTCATTCTGAAAAATTCTGAAAATAATGCGTGCCTAAGATTGTAGTGAATTCGATGTGAGATGCGCAGCAAAAATCGTGCATAACTTGAATGTGAGGATCCTCGAAGCGACAATGCGAAGCTCTTACTTCGAGCGTTCCGTAAATTCGCAAAAATCAAGCAGTCTAGGAGAAGTTTTTGTGGATTATGCATTTCTTTTTTCACGTGCAAGATCGCGGTAGATTATTGGAGGCGAGAATGTTTATAGAAATCGAGCGGAAATGTGTCATAATTTGAAGCTTCCGCAATGCTCGTTACCTCAGATAGACAGCAACATTGAATATAGCGTGTAAACATTTAATGCATACTTTGTGATGATATTGCGACAGCATAATGTGTTTAAAATACTTATATTAAAAAATCCCTACTTATTATGCATAAGTATTTACTATTTTTTATCTAAATTCTAAATATTTACTTCTTATTACTATAGCAATTCTATATTCAGAATTAAATGCTTTCTCTTTCCGACAAAATAAACAGCAATTTTTATGGCATAAGACGACTTCTTTTGTATATTGATAAAATTCTTGTTGCATAAAGACGCATCTTTGTGTAAATGAGATCGTGACATGTCTATAACTTTTCAGAATTTTATTGATAAAACTTTCTGTTAACTAATTATTACAACTGACTAGACAAACAAGACGGAAACAATTTTTCTCTATGTTTTAATGCTAAAAATAAAATTATGTAAATCGTATATTTTTTATATTTTAGTTTTTTTTATTTTCATTAATGTTTTATTTGATTTTTTAGGATTAGAATACTCTAATCTGTAATTTTTTATATTGTGCTAAACTATATCACATTTTTCATAAAGAGTTAGCTTGCGTGATCTTGTGTAGCATTTCCCACTTATGTAATCTCACTTGCGGACGTACTCTAACAACTTATTTTTTCGATTTAATTTATTTTATGAATGCAAATGACTTTTATTAGACAGAATGATATATCACACAACTGCAAAAAACTTTATTTTAATAACACGTCACTTAAATTGACTCATTCACGAAAGGGAATGTAAACACGAAATTTTGTCACATTCAAAAATTTACTCGGATGTTTTTAAATCAGACTTTTCTTTTTTCTAATAGTAATTTTAAGTTTTTAATGGAACTCAGGGGAAAATACTTATGTCTTAAAAAAATATTTCGCAATTCCGTATTTACTATTTTTTTCACGATATATACATTATCAAACTTTCTTGCGAACTCTTCTCGATCTCCCCTATTATGCTAGTTACTAAGCAGTATATAGTATGTAAAAATATGTCTACCCGGGTACTCTGCTCGTGAACCTTACATCGTGAAATTATAAGGCCGTATGTTCTCATGACATCGTGTAACTAGCAATCGCCATAATTTTGCATTGCTGCGAACATCGATGGCGCCATAGACATAGTATACATGGACTCCAAATGCCTTTGTTCTGTCGTCTAATTGAATGAAACCAACATCTAAAAAGAGAGCGAGAATAGAGGGGCTATAGTTTTCTTTTGTCACTTTTTTGTTGCGCGTGCATCCATTTCTCGTTTCCATAATATTATAGAGTGTAACGGCATTCCGACTAGACTGGCAAACAAAAGTCCTACTTAAATCTTGCACACTTTGCCGTGCAAAAAGAGACAGAGAACAGAGGTACATGTTGGCTTCTCTTTTCTGACTGTATGCGGAGTCTATGTATATTATGTCTATGGGTGGCGCTAATCGAGATTTAAAAGTCTTCACACTGAGTAGCGTACTCTGATTACGTACCTTCTATTTAAAATGCCCCATAGTCACAAATTTATGTTGAATTAATGCACATGGGACTAATTTTTTCAATTACAGAATTAACTAGAATGTATCAGGTACTTATTATGTATTTGAATTATTTGAAAAACGAATGATTATATAAAATTATATAAGACTTTCGTCTCTATATTACCATATAATCATATGTAATTATAAATGTCCATACCAAAAAAGTATATAAAAATAATTACTTATGTTTGTGGTAGCCGATAAATGTCGATGTTTAGTTAAACGAAACTATTTTTTCTCATTCAATATTTTTTCCGTGTGGGCATGTATAATTACATATTATATATATACAGAATGTCCAAAACCTTTTTTGACACAAATCGCAAGAAAATAGAACGGATTAAACGGAACAGAAAAGTCAAATACCATTTTGCAAAATTCGCAATAATTTTCGAGTAATTAATTATTTTGTCCGAACAAATTAGCGCTCAGGTCGGCGCGCGACCATGATATACGCGAATCGCGGCTCGCTGCGTCCCTCCGCCCATAGCTACCCACAAGGCAGTACAAAACATCTTAGCAATGTTTCCAGAATATTACATTTCCAATGTTAAATATTCTGGAGATAATCTCAGAAATATTCTAGAAATATCTCTGCAATGTCTTATGTCACCAACTTGTAATATTGTTGAGATATTCTGGAGACATTGCAGGGACATTCTGAAATATTGCTGGGTAATTCTGAAAATATTGAAATCTTATACCAAAAATTAATTTTTATAATATATCTTCAACTCACACGTCAGTTTATGTTAATTTTATATGAAAATTTAGGTGTTTTAACTGATTTCTCACTATTTTTACACCAGAAAATTTACTCAGTACTAGTCGGACGCGAACTCGAGAACTTCAGATATCTTCAGGTTTCTAAGTGTATCACCTTAGCTACTGTGCTACTTCTTCAACTGATACTAAGTGTTTCTTATTGTTTTCATATGCAACCAAAATAGTAATTTTTTTATAATATTATTTAGTACAACTACAAAAATAAACAATTTAGTCAAAATATTTAATACAATAAAAGAAAAGTCAGAGATATTCTGTCGATACTCGTACCTCTTCGCGTGCCATGGATAGATTGTTAAAAAAATTTTGTGATATTATAATCTTTTTTCAAAAATAATATTTCATGCTGGTTTATTGCAATTTAATGTTAAATAATTAGCCGCATTTTCATGGAAATGACAACTGAAAACATTCAATACGGTCAGAATAAATTTATAGTATTCTAATGAACAGTTTTTCGACGATAAGTCTTCCATAAAGTCGTCCGCCAATTTGTTAAATCTTTTCCATAAGAAAAATTCTACCGAAATTTTGCTATAACCTGTTACCGCGCTCCGTTTTTCAGCGATCTGGACGGTATGGGAAGACAGAATTCTGAAAAGTAGTGCTGAGATCTTGATTGCTAAGAAATATTGTAAAAATATTTGTAAGATTTTATATGAAGACATTATAGAAACGGTTTAAAATATTTTTGATGTATCATATATTTGAAATATTTTGTGCATACGCTAATAAAAAACGTATGACTATCCATTCAAAAATCCCATAAGATATACTTTATAGAAAATTATAGAAATCTTATGTTTATTGAACGAGTAATTTTTTATTAGGATATCCATATAAGATATAGTTTTTCTCCAAACAATTCATTTACTTAGATTGATTTTTAAAATATTTTAAGTAATAATGTATCGTGATTTGAAATAGAGTAGTTTCTATAAAATTTTGTTATGAATATATATACAAATATTTTGAATAATTTCTATAATGTCTCAAAATTATCTCACATATATAATGAACTGGACACACACACATACACACGCACACACAAACGCACACGCACATTATAACAATAAATAATTATTATTTATTTTAATTACTTGTGTTCATTATTATTAGTATACCCTTACAAAAAATACTTAATTGTGGGTGTAAACACCCAAAAATTGGGGATAACACCTAAATTTGAGTGTTAACAATTAACTGACTTCTTCAGGTCAAGAAATCTTTGAATATACATATAACGGAAATTTGTAAAATAGATGTTTTAAGTAAAATATTTCTAGAATATTCAATTTGAGATATTCTGATATATTTCCCGTGACAGATTTCTAGAATATTTTAAAAACTTCGCAAATGATAATGTTTCAAATGGAATATTTCTAGAATATTCAATTTGAGATATTCTGATATATTTCCCGTGACAGATTTCTAGAATATTTTAAAAACTTCGCAAATGATAATGTTTCAAATGGAATATTTCTAGAATATTCAATTTGAGATATTCTGATATATTTCCCGTGACAGATTTCTAGAATATTTTAAAAACTTCGCAAATGATAATGTTTCAAATGGAATATTTCTAGAATATTCAATTTGAGATATTCTGATATATTTCCCGTGACAGATTTCTAGAATATTTTAAAAACTTCGCAAATGATAATGTTTCAAATGGAATATTTCTAGAATATTCAATTTGAGATATTCTGATATATTTCCCGTGACAGATTTCTAGAATATTTTAAAAACTTCGCAAATGATAATGTTTCAAATGGAATATTTCTAGAATATTCTATTTCAGATATTCTGAGATATTTCCAACGACAGATCTCCAGAATATTTCAGAAATATCGCAAATGTAATGTTTCAAATAGAATATTCTTAAAATATCTTATACGAAATATTATATTTCAAATATCTGTGCAATATTCCAAGAATATCTCAAATGTAATATTTTAAAAATAATATTTGTAATATTCTGGAGACATTGCTGAGATGTTTTGTGTTGTGTGGGTACGATGTGTCTCGTAGCCATAGTTACCATAATTACGAAATACAACGTAGCTATGGGCAAAGGGACGCAGCGAGTCGCGATTCGTTTGTATCATGATCGCGCGCCGGCCCGAGCGCTAATTTGTTCAGATAAAATAATTAATTACTCGAAAATTATTGCGAATTTCGTAAAATGGTATTTGACTAAGTACAATTAAACTCTTCGGTACAAACGAAACAAAATTAAAAAGGGTCAAATAAGAGTTGACGCCAGTGAGAGGGCGAAATTAATTATATATTCATACAATGAACAAATCTAGATTGTATACGTTTCGGTCCCAATTTTGAACCCTCTTCAGTACATAATACCATTTAAAAAATCCGTCAAATCGCAGAAGTCACTAGATAGTAAACGAATGTTACCTTAAAATCGAGGTAGACAGTATAAATTTCAAATTACAGAAAATTAAAAATGTCAAGTGCTTACCAAGCAGTCGAAAATAAATAGAACAGCGTCAACAGATTTTACGGATGTACATAGAACGCAATGTAAGATAATCGCAAACAGAAGGCAATATTAAAATCGGACCACATTATAAATCAACCGCTCGCGATACTACAAAGCGTAGCCAGTCAAATACTGAGGAAAACAAAGAAAAGAAAAGTAAACATATGTTTATGCTTATGGAAGTCTCTCAGTTATAGGCATATAATCCTTGCTCAATCCTTCTGTATCTTCATATAAATTGATTCCATTTTTCTGTCCTTGAATAAAGAACATTTCTGAGATACAGCGTTTAATATAGGATTTCCTTTTGTCTAAAATCTTGACTGAGTCCCAATCAAATTCATGTCCCAACAAACGATGAGACAACCGAAAGATTTCTATGAAAATAGGATAATTGGTTACGGTGTTCTTTAATGCGAGTATTCAGTTGTCTGTCTGTTTGATCGACATACGACGCATCGCAGTCGCGACAATCAATTCTGTACACCACACCACTTTGTGATTCTTTAGGTAATCTACCTTTGTGAGGTTTAATAAATCTATCTAATGTACGCATACCCAAATAAGCGGTCCTGAGGCCCAACTCTGTCAAATTATGTCCTAAATTCTCAGAAATCTTGCGGATATACGGCACAACAAAGAAACGGTTATTATTGTTATTCACGTCAATCGTTGTATCGATATGTTTTTTAATAACGTTAGATCTTTGTTGGTTTTGAATCAGCTTGAAAAGTCTTGTCTTTAAGGTTTTGAAAATTAAAGTTAATGGGTAACCATTACTCAGTAGTATATCAATTAGCTTATAAAAATTTCTTTGGTAGTACCTAGGATGAGATAGTAGGAAAGCTCTATCGCACAAGCCGATGATCATGCCCAACTTATAATTAAGTGGTTGACAAGATAAATAATTTAAATATCTGCCTGAAGAAGTAGGTTTCTGATACCAATTGCACCCAAACGTCTCATCAACAACCCTCAAATTTATGTCCAAAAAATTGATGCTTTTGTCCTGACAAATTTCACATGCGTATTGGAGTCGCGGGTGAAAAGAATTAAAAGTGTCAAGAATTGTTCGAATCATACAACTCTGAGCCGTCAATAAAATATCGTCAACGTGTCTAAAATAAACTGGTATATGGAATGAGAGTTGTTTGAAGGCTTTAGTTTCTAAGTCTTGCAAAACTAAATCTGCAATAATGGGAGACAATGGTGAGGCCATTGGTGTACCAAAAGTTTGTTTATAATAAGAGTCATTGAATTTAAAAAATGTTGAGTTAAGCACAAAATTAATTCCTAATAAAAATTCTAGAGGAATCTTACAGGCTTTCGAAATATAGGCCCATCCGTTTTTAATACTTGCAAGAGCTAAGTCCGTGGGAATATTAGTAAACAAGGACACAACATCGAGAGACAAGACATCATAATGTTCGTCAATGCGTAAACCCGATAGCTTCTATACCAAATCAAAGCTATTTCTAACATGAATTTGAGCGACTGGCACGCTCGTGAAAATGATTTTATGTAAAAACTTGGCTAGCGGATGTAACGAACTACCAATGGAAGATACAATGATTTTAAGCGGACAATTAGCTTTGTGTATTTTTGGTAATCCATAAGCGCGGGGGATTACGCCATCGGTACAAAGAAGAGATTTGTACTGAAAAACAGTAATAGTTATACGTCTTTCACCGTTTCAACGTCTTCAAATCTCTCGTTAGTTTTATCGTAGGATCAGATTGTAACTTAACGTACGTGACCCTGTCATCAAGGATAATATCTATCTTTCTCAATATAGTCAGATTTATCTAAGCCAACTGTAATGTTGCCTTTATCGGCTTTCGTAAAAATTAAATTGTACATTTATTGTACATTATATTATACATTTTCTTTTAAAAACTTTGAAGTTTTCTTAAAAGCTACCATAAGTGGCCCATCCAATTTTCCAGACGGAATATTAACAAAAATCACTTTTTTAATGGATGGTAAACAATGTATTAGACAATGGTTACGGATAGACTGTCTAACATTACCCGGTAAGAATCTCAAATTGTTTTCAATATTTTTTATGAAGTCACAAAACAACTTCTCC